CCCCAAAACCCCAAAACCCCAAAACCCCAAAACCCCGAGATACAAACAAACTTGTAATATTAATATTTGAATAAATGGAACAAAGTAAAGAAAACAAAGAACCAAAGGTCCCCAAGGTAAGCACTTTACTCACTCTGATTTGCATGTTCGGAAAAATGGAGTTTAATACCAAAATATTGTAATTCTTTACTGTGGATGAACTTTGAATGTGTAGAAAATGAACAAAATTGGTAACCTCACACTCAACTACAAAAAGTTCTTGAGCAAAAAGGCTACCAACGAGTCAGGCTCCAACAACTCAATCAAGTACTTCAGCAAAGAAGTCAAGACCATCAATGACAAGTTCAAGAACACTTCGCTAAACCCGTAAGTGTGTGCTGACCTGTAGAGCAAGATACAGTTTGAAAAATCCGAAGAAGCTGTTTACAAAGCTAAAGCCTCAAGTAAATGGACACAGCAGCATGTCGTTTGCAAGCAGCTCGTCGGCTCAGGTATCTGGTAAAGCTGCTAAGAAGCCAACTCGCAAAGATCCCAAGGAAGCGAAAGATCGCAGAGATCGCAGAGACCACAAAGACAGCAACCCTCACCACATCGAGCAGAAGATTCTGCATGACTCATTTGCGAAGTCGCTGAAATCTCAGAAAGAATTGTCTTTGAAACAGAAAGTCATCGAACAGATCACCAAGAAGAATGTGGGACTCGAAGACAGACTCTCGAAGCTACAAGCTGACTATGATGCTGTTGATAACGAGAAAACACAAATGGGTGTTCAGATACAACAGCTCAATGATCAGATTACACAAGACAAGCAAGACAAACTCATTGAAATCTCCGAACTGACTGACCAGCTCGGCATTTGCAGAACCCACATTAAGTCTCTCGTAGATATCTTGACAGATCTGCTCGAATACATCCTGACGAAGTGTGTGGGAGGCCCTCCAGTCACTTCGAGAAGCCAGTCATCGATCATGGGTGGAACTCACGACTTCGGAAACAACAAAGACAACAGCTACTCTACCGACCTCATGTACAAAGTGCATGACGACGATAAGCGCAACCATTCTGAGCACATCAAGACTCTCTTGATTGCGAAACTTGATGTCATCAACCAGAGCGTCAAAGGCCTCAACATCGAGCACGAAATCAACAAGATCGAAGCCTGGCGCATGATTGATGACTTGTCTGAACTGAACTCTCCAATCAACCACAATTCGATTCGTGCTTCGAGCCGCATGGAGACTGAGTCGAGGTTCCCACCACACTTCGGTGGCGCCTCCACCCACAAGACCATTTCTGGTAGCGACTACTCACATCCACGGCCAGTTCTCAAGAACAATGACAGCTTCCATATGAGTTTCTCGCAAGATAGTGGCGACAAGCTCAGGATCCTCGACAACCTCACTCATCGCAAGTCTGTCAACATAGAACACAGTGACAACAAACACAACATGGTGCACGAAGACTCCATGATGAACATCGGAGCGTCCAAGCAGGAATACAACGCCAAACGGACCAGTCCGATCATGGGGGCTCCATCCATCGAAGACGTTGAAGATGTTGAAGAAGACAAAGAAGATCGAGATGACCGAGATGACAAGTCAGACAAATATGATCGTGATGACCGAGACAACATCCACTTCGAAGATGAAGACACAGTCAGCATTTCTCGCTTCAGAGAAAACACATTTGCAAACTCTGAAGGTTGCAACGAGTCTGCCATCGAAGAAAACAAGTCTCACGACCACCTCACTTCGAAGGGCTCACTCAAGAACTTGGTCAAGAGCATTTCGTTCAACGACCTTGGCCAGGCACAAGAACCAGCCGTGATGGGACTCCGCACACACCAAGGTGGCCGAGTCTACAATGAGCCTGGCTACATCGCACGCAAACAGAGCAAAGCCAAGAGCATGAAGAAAGTCACTCTCTCAGAGAACAAGAACTTCGACGACTCGAAGCTGAAGAAGGGCTCAGATGACTCACTGTTACCGGCAGCAACAGCAAAAGAGAACTTGTCTGAAAAAGGGTTTGGAAGTTTCATGAACTCTGACAATGAGGAAGACAACATCATCAAATCAGTCTTCTCTCATGACTTTGTTCACACAAATACCTTCACCTTCAAAGCTCCTATTGTTGAAGGAGGTGCTAAATTTGTAAAACAGAAATCCATGGAGCTCGACTACACTCAAAAATCTCCAAAGCCATAAGCCTATATTCTCTTGAAAGCTATAACAATGTGTGTTGGATAATCCTAAAACTTGTTTCAGATGATGCTGATCTACTACTTCATTTTCTAATGTGTTCTGTTCCTAGTCATACATAGTAGGATATTCGAATATTATTCAATTTAGCACACGAGGACAGGGGTTTTGGGGTTTTGGGGTTTTGGGGTTTTGGGG